CTCTCTCTTTCTCCCGGTCTCTCTCTCTTTCGGTTTCTCTCTCTCTCTCTCTCTCGGTCTCTCTCTCTCTCTCTCTCGGTCTCTCTCTCTCTCTCGGTCTCTCTCTCTCTTTCTCGGTCTCTCTCTCTCTCTCATGGTCTCTCCCTCTCTCTCTCTCTCTCTCGGTCTCTCTCTCTCTGTCTCTCCCTCTCTCTCTCTCTCGGTCTCTCTCTCTCTTTCTCGGTCTCTCTCTCTCTCGGTCTCTCCCTCTCTCCCTCCCTCCCTCCCTCTCTCTGCTTCTCTCAATTCTTTTGAAATTTCTTTCCGGTTCATCATTTCCTGTCTTTGGAGCGTGCGAGAAACTAGTCGAACCGCATATATGATTTTGCGAACAGAAACACACACAAACAGAGAGAGAGAGAGAGAGAGAGAGAGAGAGAGAGAGAGAGAGAGAGAGAGAGAGAGAGAGAGAGAGAGAGAGAGAGAGAGAGAGAGAGAGAGAGACCACATAGTGTCACATAGGGTCTAACCATGTTGATTAATTAAATCTTCACGCGCCAACACGCACGCTGCCAAAAACCCTAAATGCATCGTTTAAAATTCACACAAGAGGAGTTCTTTACCCCCCTCCCCCCTCCCCCCCATCTTTTATGGTTTGGTAGTTTACTGTTAACAACCGAGGAGGCGATTTAACGCTACTTTTATAAGTTTAACACATCGCTTTTATTATCAAACGTGATATGGGGTTCAGTTGAAAGTATCAAACGGAAAAATGGAAAAGGAAAGAAAAAAAGAAAAGAGTAGATATCCCGTTTATTTTTTTTCGGTATAATACTATAGCCTATTTTATGTAATTTATTGTGTATTGTCGAATTAATTAAAGACTTGGAATGAAAAAGGAAGGGCAGAAGGAAACTAGAGAGAAATAAAGGGAATGAAAGGGAATTTGAAAGGAATATCGGGAATAATTTTCGTTAGCGGATTTCTTTTTTGTTTTGTTTTGTTTTGTTTTGTTTAACTCTCTGACGTAACTTCCTTCATCGTGAACCCTTTATTTTGGTTACGTCATATTTTTGTCCTTTGACTTTTGTGACACCTTTGCCCTTCCTTGTTTGTTTGTTTTTTCTTGTTATTATTATTTTTTTTTTGTATGTTTCGTTAACGTGAAATGTAATCCTCACTTTCTTTCTTACAATTGAGATTTTCCGCTCGGTTGTCTTTCCTATAGAGACTTGCCTATACACCTAAATGCACAAGAAAAGACAAACCCACAAAAACACACATGTACTTACTGTATACGCGGGGACATTTATGTCTTGCACAAACACTCGCACACGCACGCTCACACACGCACGCACGCACGCACGCACACACACACGCACGCACACACACACGCACACACGCACGCACGTACGCGCACACACACACACACACACACACACACACACACACACACACACACACACACACACACACACACACACACACACACACACGTATGACAGACAGATAGATAGATAGATAGAGAGAGAGAGAGTGAGAGAGAGAGAAAGAGAGAGAAAGAGAAAGAGAGAGAAGGAAACAAGAGATCGCAAGAGGGAAAGACAGCCAGAAAAAACAAAACAAACAAACGAACAATAAAAAAAAAAGAATCGAGACCACACAACACACATAAACCCAACAAACAAACAAATAAACAAGTCCCCTCCCCCCCCAAAAAAAAAAAAAAAAAATCACGCACGTGCACATTTAGGTCAATCACAAAAGATGACGATTTAACTTCAAGTCTCGTCTCTCTGTGAAAAGCATCTAGACCGATCGCCTGTGTTCTAGTCCGGCAAATGTAGGGCTCGTTAGTCTGTCTTTGGATCCGGAAAATTACGTCCCTATCGTAGCACTTAATGTGATTATTCTTCGTTGTTTGTTTGTCTTTTTTATTCATTTTCTGTTTTTTTTTTCTTTTTGGTCTATTTTCTTCTTACTCTTTTTTTTTTGTTTTCTTTATCTGATTTTCTTTCTCTTCTTTTCCTTGTTTCTGTTTTCTTTCTTTTTGTTTTCTCTATCTTCTGTTTTTTCTTCTCTTTTCCTCCTTTCCTTTTATTATTTTTCTTTTTTTCTTATCCCTTTCCTCATCCATTTTTTTCTATTATTCCTGTTTCCTTAATTCTCTGTCCTATCTCTTATCCCCTTTCTTTCGTTTTTTTTTTTTTCTCTTTCTTATTTCTTTCGTATGTCCCCTTCCTTCGATTTTACCATTTCCTCTCGCTGTTTTTATATTCATCTTTTTTATCTTACCTTCCTTCGGTTTTTCCTAACCCCTTTCCTTTCGCTTTGTTTTCTTATTTTTCTTATCTCATCATCCTTTCCCTTATTACTCTATTTTCTTCCTTCTTCCTCTTCCGTGCAACGTCTAAAGTCTTCACTTACGATGACATTGCACTTTTGACACGTAAAAACATTTGACTGACGCACTGCTATGCTCTTTTGTCTTTTTATGAAAACTATGGTCTCAAGTGTCGCA